GTTTTTTTTTGGTTTTTAGGATCGCTAAGGGATTTTTTTTTGGGGGGGTTTTAGGGTTTTTATGATTTTTTTGTTGTTGTTGTTTTTGGGGTCGCAGTCCTGGCCACCATGCGGGATTTGTCGTGCCCGGGTTTTTGGGCCATTTTTATGATTTTTATAATTTTTTTTTGTCCCCAGTGCTGGCCACCATGTGGGATTTGTCGCGCCGGGGTTTTTGGGTTTTTTTATGATTTTTATAAATTTTTCGGTCCCCAGTCCTGGCCACCATGCGGGATTTGTCGCGCCGGGGTTTTTAAGGTTTCTGATGGGTATTTTTTGGGTTTTTCTGGTTTCTCATGGAATTTTTTTGGGTTTTTTTGTCCCGAGTCCTGGCCACCATGCGGGATTTGTCGTGCCGGGGTTTTTGCGATCTCTAAGGGATTTTTGGGGTTTTTGGGGTTTTTTTAGGATTTCTGATGATTTTTTAATTTTTTTTGTCCCCAGTCCTGGCCACCATGCGGGATTTGTTGCGCCGGGGATTTTAAGGTTTCTGAAGGATATTTTTTGGGTTTCTGACGGTTTTTTTTGGGTTTTCGGTCCCCAGTCCTGGCCACCATGCGGGACCTGTCGCGCCGGAGTTTTTGGGATTTTTGGGGTTTTTTGAGGGTTTCTGATGGATTTTTTTGGGGTCGCAGTCCTGGCCACCATGCGGGATTTGTCGCGCCGGGGTTTTTAAGGTTTCTGATGGATATTTTTTGGATTTCTGACGGTTTTTTTGGGATTTTCGGTCCCCAGTCCTGGCCACCATGCGGGATTTGTCGCGCCGGGGTTTTTGGGGAATTTTTTATGATTTTTTTAATTTTTTTTGTCCCCAGTCCTGGCCACCATGCGGGATTTGTCGCGCCGGGGTTTTTGCGATCTCTAAGGGATTTTTAAGGGATTTTTTTGGTTTTTGGGGGGTTTTTGGGATTTCTGATGATTTTTTTTAAATTTTTCGGTCCCCAGTCCTGGCCACCATGCGGGATTTGTCGCGCCGGGGTTTTTGGGATTTTTAAGGGATTTTTCGGATCTCTAAGGGATTTTTTGGGGGGTTTTTAGGGTTTTTATGATTTTTTTTTTGTTGTTTTTGGGGTCACAGTCGTGGCCACCATGCGGGATTTGTCGCGCCGGGGTTTTTGGGATTTTTTATGATTTTTTTAATTTTTCGGTCCCCAGTCCTGGCCACCATGCGGGATTTGTCGCGCCGGGGTTTTT